ACTGCCGCCCTATCACAACTTCTCACTTGTTTACATTCCACTCGTCAAAATGTGTGCCCTTTTGTGGCAAGACTAGTGTGGTCTCATCACACTTGCTATTTACCCCGACCCCTCTCTTTCGATCAGCAGATCCAACTCGGGCCTACCTTCCTGCGAACTAACTCAAAAACTACGGCCAATATTGAGGAAATGGAATATTCAGGTGGCCATGAAAGAGAAATCAACACTTCACAGGTCTAACAACGCAACATTAAAGGGTAGAAAAATTGGATTGTCCAGGAGTTTATTGTATATCATGTGGCGGCTGCGGACAGAAATATATTGGTGAAACAGGGAAAAAAATTATCACACGAATTAAGGAACATCAGAGGCTCTGCAAGAAAATGTATACTAAAGATCAGAACTAGCGGAACACATCGCACAGACTGGACACGAGATTAATTGGAAGGCAAAAGAAAGAAAAGCTCCATATGATAACACAAGGAAGCAGAAGATTAGGGAGGCCCTTGACATCCTTAGGGAGAAAAATCTAATGAACAGGAGATTGGAGGAAGGTAGAGCTAGCGATTACTTTGCCTACTGCCTAAGCAAAATCGGGGAAAACAATAGAGCAAGACTAGCAATAAGGAGACGCCTGGATCAAGTATCTGCCACTAATAGGAGGAAAAGGGGATGACGATCCGGGGGAAGGTTTCGGCAATTAAGCGAAGACGTTGTCAGTGATTGATGTCCATTTTGAATAAACCAGTACAACTTTGGGAGACTGGCAGTCAGTGAGCTGGGCAGACGGATATGCAAACCGTCAGGGAAATTTGGCGTTATTGCAAAGATGCACTAGGAATCCACTTGCGATGCCGCATGCGACCAGAGATAGGCGTCCACAGTTTGCTAAGATAACATGGGTTTAATCAACGAGAGGACCCGTGAAATGATAGCCTGATATCTAAAAGCATGGGAATCAGAGTTTAGGCGCTCTGCTTAGTGGAGCGGCGGTGTGCGTGCTTCTATCGCCTGGAGTGAAATGCACCCTGGGACTGGAACCGAGTGAAATCGGTCAACCAAAAAGATAAGGAACTGATCTACGAAACAATGAGGGGATCTGGATTGGAGGCCTGAGTCGGATCAGCCGATCGCAAAAGAGGAGTCGAGGTAAATAGCAAGTATGATGAGGCCACACTAGTTTTGCACATATTTTGACGAGTATAATGTAAGCAAGGGAGGAGTTGTGATAGGGTGGCAGTGGGATAAGAGGGTAAAGAGTAGATAAATAGGCCAGGATAAAAAGAGGAGTGATAGTGTAACCGTTTTCGGCAGAACGTTTGTCACTTGTCTCTTTGACGAGTTCGTAGCTTGGTGCCGAGTATGGCAAAAGTCACTGATGATGCCGACTACGATGCCGGTGAAACGTACGAGAACGTATCAAGTCCACTGTCTGATGCTGGGAATCATGACAACTACTATGGCAGGCGACTTCGGACTAGGTGCGTTATACTAAGTCCTACTGAAAACAAGACCAAGTTGCGACGAGGTCAACCCACTTCTATAAATTGAAAGGAGATTGCGACCATACCAGAGGCCACAACATCTTTGTCTTCATATCTTTAACATGCAGACTTCTATTCGTGATGCTAATTTTAATATTCATGGAGTTTTTCTCTATCATTCTTTGAAACACACTTAAGCATTGATAGCTATATACCCCAGCAAACATTTACCGTTTATACGAATAGTTGCCAGGTTTCGATGACTATCTTGACATAATATTGTTGGGATTAGTTTCATTTCGTACTAACGTGCAGGATGAAGAGATTCGTCAATTGATCTCACTCGAAGACGCTGGCAGTTTCCCATTGTTTTGCAGCCTTTTGACTATACGATGTTCATGTTGACGTAGTACCTCATTTCAGTTAAAACCGGGCTGGGCTTTCGTCCATCTAATGGTAGACCCCATCAGAACTGGAACTCATTTTTGAATAAGTCAATCCTAAGTCTAGTCGAAGGTATGAAGACCAAGATGGTATGGCCTTTTGTGTGGTCGTATTCTCCTTTCATTGTATAGAAGC